CACACACACACACGCACACACACACACACACACCCTAATTGTAATGAAATCACTGTCCTGCTCTTTACACTGTGCCACATGCTTGTTAATTAAAACTTCTCTGCAGACAGGTAAGTTGTTTATTCACCTTGATTGACTCTCCAATAAATGAGAAGCTACAACAGGGATGTCCAAAGTCCAGCCCGGGGGCCAATCATGGCCCTAGGTCTGATTTTTTATGGCCCGCCGCCACAAACAGAATTAATAAAGCGTAATTTCTCTGTCCACCTTATGCTGTCAGCACCATGAGATGCGATGCATGAAAAGGTCAGTAAGTGTTGTTTAAAATGAGGCTGACTGACGTTTCAGGTCCACACAGTTTGATCTTTGTGTTACTCTGTGAATGAAAAGTCGTTTTATTCCGTGAAGGCTTGAATGAACCCGATCTCCATAATTCTTGTGTTATTGAAAATAACGTGAAAAACACCTCTGAGCTGCACACAATCTGCAGCAAACAAAATAAACCATCTTTAACTCCAATCATTAGACCTGCAGGACGGATGTGACTACAACCTGAAGCAAATAACTCGACGTCAGTGAGAAGTGCTCACAGCGGGTCGTTTGGTGGACGGAGTTTCTCTCTGTAGGATCGTTACCTTGCAGCTTGATGTATCTTGAGGCTGCCGCTGTGATTCGGTGCTATAGAAATGGAATTGAACTGAACAGATGATGTTGGGTCTCTTTGAGGATCAAGGTCCTTGTTATGTATCTAACCTGGTTACTCATTCAGAGGATTCCAGGTAACTTCCAGCTCCATGGTGCAGCGAACAATCTCATTAACTCTGTATGAATCATTCAAACACATAAAAAGCCTCTAACTGAAGGAATGAACCAGTGTTGTGTCGACACATAACAGCAGTAAATAAGTAAGCAAACAAAAACTGTATAGAGCCCAGAAGAAGAATGAAACTCACAGTCTTGGCCCTCAAAGCTGGATCGTAGCAGCTGGGTCCTGATAACACTTACAAAAGAATCAATGTCAGATTGTACCTGTTCTACTGTGCTACAACGAGTCTGTTGGAAAAACACTGCATTTGTTCCCATTTCTTTCACTGACTACAAAAAACGCCAAAGAAACAGGAAACAGGGAGAAAACGCTGAAGTACGCCGAATTACACAAGAACACCGCGGCCAGTGACAGCAGGTGTGACAGAGATGAATCCAAATGAGTTCAAATCACTGTCAGTGTGTAGAGAGGAGGTCAGGACAGAGGTCAGAGCATCCAGAGCCCTCTGTAAAAACAGGAGGCTCTGCCAGCGTCTGGGTGGAGGCTCTGGGTGGTGTTGGAGGTCTCATCAGAAATGATGAACACAGATTTTGATCCACCGTGAGACACGTGAAAGACGGGAACAGCTTCATTTTTCACAATGACAGTAATCAGTCACACATTAGCCTCCCCAATGCACCACGTGCCCCACTACAGTACTGCACAGCTACAGTACTACACAGCTACAGTACTACA